GATTGATATTGGTGAGAAAGATAAGAGCACATTATATGCACATATTCGGTACCATATGCTGATTGGGTTCTAAGCCAGTTAATTAGGGTCAACAAGATAGCAAAGATCAGAAAATCACATACATTGTATATTTATCCCCAGACGACTGTCATCTGTTTCATTACCACAGAATCAGTCTCATGCGAACGTATCATAGATCTACACGTGTATAACATGGCTATCCCATCGGAAAAAGTAAAACGACACCAAGTTTCAGAATTGAATTTCTGTGAATGACGTTTAAAAAGCAGACATTCTAGGGAAAATGCAAATTGTTCGGACAATCCTGACAAACAGGCCAAACAAACCTGGGGGAATTGTACAAGCCTTAGAGACTATTTAGGGGTTTTGGACTACTGGTCAACAGGATAAGTCTATGGATCATAATACAAGGCCAGCAGCTTGTACTTACAGGTACATAAACGTTTCGAAGAAGAACAATGATCAAAAACTGTTTCTGTGTGCAGATCCTCAAATGAAAAAACCTATCCAGAATGACATGCTTTAAAGGATTAATTTCAATGTGACAATCATAAGTTGGCGTGGTCTTCTTCCCGTACCTTCCAGACGAGGGTTACTTGGATGGCAGAGTTCAGAAGGGTTTTATCTGCAGTGAAATGTTGCCCTCGCATTATAAAATTTGTTGATGGTGGTATTGGAAATAACCAAAAAAGATTACACTTCTTTAAGTCTTACAAAAAATATATTCAGGATGAACACAATGATTCAATATCAACAGCGCTCCTCGAGGAAAGTGATCTTTATAAAGACGAAAGCTGAGGGGGTATTGCTATGATGACAGATGCCAGACATGGATGGAGGAAGAATGTCAAGGACACAAGTGTCGTTGCTATTGGTGACCGCACACATGAAGTTATAAATTGCCAACATGTTCAGTACCAAAGCAGATGACAACATTTCTCAACGACATGAGAAACTGGGAACAGGAAAAATATATAAGTACCTATCTGACAACACCGTCTCCATGGGAGTCCATACTCATGACAGGAGTGACAGGAGCCTGTCTATTATTAATAAGTACATCAGAGAAGAATACGAATCTAAAAACCAAAATGACTCCTGGCATTGTGTGAAGTCTGTCAAAAAGGCTCTCAAAAGAGCAGCATCAGGTCCAACTGCTTTTCAGGGAAAACTTGGACTTTTTAGCTTAGCAACAAAGTTGAACCCGTTGCCACCCACATGCATTGGGCTATTAGAAACTGCGGAGGCGATACTGTAAAACTGCGCCAAAACAAGAACAATCGCAGTATATGTAACCTGACGTCAAAAAAAAAAGTATACAAGTGTACCGAGGACCATAGGTCGGGAAAGGACACATTTTAAGTATAGAACTTCTGATGATCATTTATCAGGACAAGATAATTGCTTTCTCAGATGACCAATACAAATTAATGGCAAGCCAACTTGGCAGTCTGTCAATGGAATGAAAATGTTAATCGTGGACACCAGCAAAAAAAGTCAAAGTTCAACTTAGTGTGTAATACACAGGAGCCGATATAGCTCCTCTACACTGGACGCAAAAATAAAACAATTGTATAATAAAAAGCTGAAGTTCATTGTTATTCAAATTTGCCCTTTAATTTTAATAAAATTCTTCATTCTGCCAAAGTTATCTATTCTGTTCTTAAACGTATTGATATTTGGAGCGGATACAACGTTAACGTCCTCCGGAAAATTGTTCCAGGTTTTTGACTGTACGGAAGGTGAAATAGTTTCTCCTCAGGGATGTTGTTGACTGTACGAAATGTGAAATAGATTCTCCTAAGGGATGTTGTTGACTGTACGAAATGTGAAATAGATTCTCCTAAGGGATGTTGTTGACTGTACGAAATGTGAAATAGATTCTCCTAAGGGATGTTGTTGACTGTACGAAATGTGAAATAGATTCTCCTAAGGGATGTTGTTGACTGTACGAAATGTGAAATAGTTTGTCCTCAGGGATGTTGTTGACTGAACGAAATATGAAATAGTTTCTCCTCAGGGATGTTGTTGACTTTACGAAATGTGAAATAGTTTCTCCTCAGGGATGGTGTTGACTGTACGAAATGTGAAATAGTTTCTCCTCAGGGATATTGTTGACTGTACGGAGGGGGAAATAGTTTCTCCTCAGGGATGTTGTTGACTGCACGGAAGGTGAACTAGTTTCTCCCCAGGGATGTTGTTGACTGTACGAAATGTGAAATAGATTCTCCTAAGGGATGTTGTTGACTGTACGAAATGTGAAATAGATTCTCCTAAGGGATGTTGTTGACTGTACGAAATGTGAAATAGTTTGTCCTCAGGGATGTTGTTGACTGAACGAAATATGAAATAGTTTCTCCTCAGGGATGTTGTTGACTTTACGAAATGTGAAATAGTTTCTCCTCAGGGATGGTTTTGACTGTACGAAATATGAAATAGTTTCTCCTCAGGGATGTTGTTGACTTTACGAAATGTGAAATAGTTTCTCCTCAGGGATGTTGTTTACTGTACGAAATGTGAAATAGTTTCTCCTCAGGGAGGTTTTTGACTGTACGAAATGTGAAATAGTTTCTTCTCAGGGATGTTGTTGACTGTACGAAATGTGAAATAGTTTGTCCTCAGGGATGTTGTTGACTGAACGAAATATGAAATAGTTTCTCCTCAGGGATGTTGTTGACTGTGCGAAATGTGAAATAGTTTCTCCTCAGGGATGTTGTTTACTGTACGAAATGTGAAATAGTTTCTCCTCAGGGATGGTGTTGACTGTACGAAATGTGAAATAGTTTCTCCTAAGGGATGTTGTTGACTGTACAAAATGTGAAATAGTTTCTCCTAAGGGATGTTGTTGACTGTACAAAATGTGAAATAGTTTCTCCTAAGGGATGTTGTTGACTGTACGAAATGTGAAATAGTTTCTCCTCAGGGATGGTGTTGACTGTACGAAATGTGAAATAGTTTCTCCTAAGGGATGTTGTTGACTGTACAAAATGTGAAATAGTTTCTCCTAAGGGATGTTGTTGACTGTACGAAATGTGAAATAGATTCTCCTAAGGGATGTTGTTGACTGTACGAAATGTGAAATAGTTTGTCCTCAGGGATGTTGTTGACTGAACGAAATATGAAATAGTTTCTCCTCAGGGATGTTGTTGACTGCACGGAAGGTGAACTAGTTTCTCCCCAGGGATGTTGTTGACTGTACGAAATGTGAAATAGATTCTCCTAAGGGATGTTGTTGACTGTACGAAATGTGAAATAGTTTGTCCTCAGGGATGTTGTTGACTGAACGAAATATGAAATAGTTTCTCCTCAGGGATGTTGTTGACTGCACGGAAGGTGAACTAGTTTCTCCCCAGGGATGTTGTTGACTGTACGAAATGTGAAATAGTTTGTCCTCAGGGATGTTGTTGACTGAACGAAATATGAAATAGTTTCTCCTCAGGGATGTTGTTGACTTTACGAAATGTGAAATAGTTTCTCCTCAGGGATGGTGTTGACTGTACGAAATGTGAAATAGTTTCTCCTAAGGGATGTTGTTGACTGTACGAAATGTGAAATAGTTTGTCCTCAGGGATGTTGTTGACTGAACGAAATATGAAATAGTTTCTCCTCAGGGATGTTGTTGACTGCACGGAAGGTGAACTAGTTTCTCCCCAGGAATGTTGTTGACTGTACGAAATGTGAAATAGTTTCTCCTCAGGGATATTGTTGACTGTACGAAATGTGAAATAGTTTCTCCTCAGGGATGTTTTTGACTGTACGAAATATGAAATAGTTTCTCCTCAGGGATGTTGTTGACTGATTTTTTTTCAAGTTTCCCCTTGTAACATTTCTGACTGAATCTTCACTCCGTAACTTAACAAAAGTACATGCCTCTCTATCGTAGATTCTGTTTACAATCTTGTACATTTCGACCAGTCTCCTATATATGCTAGTGTTGGTAGATTTAATTTCCTTAACCTTTCTATATATTCTAAGCCCTTTCGTTTCAACAAATGTTATTTAGTTAACAAAAGGATAAGATAACAGGCAGTGCCTATATAAGTCTTTCCTGAACCGGTACAACATATATACATTTACACAGAATAATAAGGTATATTTACAAAATTATCGATAATTAATTACTTATTGAGATGATTGAAATAGATGGACGACTATGTGGAAAATATGTATATATATATTTGAATTAATAATATTGCTGAATGTTGAACTACGCACACTTATACTAATTCTAAGCCCTTCATCCCCGGTAGATATTTCGTAGCGCGACGTTGTAGTCTATTTATATATTTTCTACATATATGCACCACGCAGTGAAAAAGGGGAAAAAGTACAAAACATTTACATTCAAGTTCAGGAAAAATATTTGGAATAGATATGTTGACACACTGTACAAGCATATAGCTTGTAAGTAATACCCTATCACAATAGTGTGTATGGTGTTTATATACTAGCCATGTGCTCTAACTTGCTGTTAGCTATTTATAGAGCACTCTCCTGCTATGGTTGGGTCTAGGCCTAATAGTTTACCACCTGGTAAAAGAAATCCCAAATACGCACTATAAACAATGTATCAGAAACGAGAATAGTTCTCCATGTTAGTTTTAGACAGGGTTATTAATGCTGGTTCTGAGCCGTAATCTATAAATAGATTTAGTATCGTTCATACGTCATCTGTGTTCATTTGATCCATAATATATATATATATATATATATTGATAAGTAAGGATTTATAATATTCATATTTGGACTCTTTTATATGTTAATCTGTCTAAATTGATGATTTCGTCACTCGACAGTTCATCATGGAAATTTCCCTTGGCCTAGATCTAAAAATAGCCATTGTGCTGTGACAACGAGACCAACGTATACAAACGTTCGGCTGACGCAATGTGTTTTTCCAAATTGACTGAATTGTGAAATTGCCCTACGTAGGACCAACGAAACGCTGTCGTTGCAGAACGTTAGCCAATCGTAGACCGTACGCTCGGTGAGGGTATAAATAGTCTATCACCGGCCCAGAAACGTCACACTCTCGTCGTCTGAAGATCTAGAAGGCAGGCCGATACTCGGAGGATTATAAGGTATGTGTCTGTTTATTATTTTTGTTTATTTCAGAATGTGTCGGTACATTCCGTCGTGTGGTGTAAAATTGTACTCGAAGAGTTGACGGTCTCGTACATCAGTTATTCTTTTCGTTTTCCGCCCGAAGTTCTCATTTCCTTAATGGAATACACATACAGTTATATTCCCTATCAATGTTTTTAGTAATTACTGAATAATACAAATAATGTATTTGTCAACATAGAATATATTTACGCTTGTACATTATATGTTGTGTTTTCCACTCCGTAAGTATTTATGTATATATACGATGTGATATGTGTAATACAATATATATATAACTTAATATACAATATATATATACATGAACTACATTACCTAACTTACGACTTACAAATGTGTGTAGGTCACATCAGAGACGTATAATACATTTTACGTCTCTGGTCACATTAACCGTTGTACCTCGTTTAATCAAATGGATTCTATGAAGAATTGTATGATATTTCAGGAGCTGCAGTATAAAATGATATGCTTTGGAAGAAAGCTGGGGATAAGTCAATGTTTACGGGATAAAGTACCAACTAGTCAAACGACTGACACACAGCACAGTTCACTTATTACCTGAGGGTTCGATTTTGACAGACACTCAGCCCGTCACCTAAAATGACGTTAGGGAAACTGTTTTATGTCGGTGTGTACATCACCCAGAGACACCACATCCTACCCTTCAGTGGCCTGCTGGCAAGGTGAGTGTCTATAGCTACACCCTATCACACTATCCAGCGACACAGTTACACAACCTGGTCTTCCCAGTTCCTGCTGTGGTCTTTTGTGTCGAATAAGAGTCCCCGGTTTATCCTTGGGTGTTTTTTTTTGTTTTTATTTGAGGATATGGTACATATATTTCTATTCGTCTTTTATTTCAAAAGACGATTTTCGTTAATATAAAAATAGGACTAAAAGATTTGAGAAGGAAAATGTCTAGAGACTTTTCCACGTAGTTGGTTATATAATGTCTGTAGCTATAGAGGAGGTGGTACCGGGGGTACCGTCATGCAGCAAACTAAACAGTGTTATCATTGTTGAGGATAGCACACGCTTAGATGAGGTATGCCCAGTGGCAGAATGTGTTGTATTTGATATAGCATGCGTTGATAAGTACTGTTCTAATTTACCCTGATATATATTCAATTTAAAATGACTTGGAGAATGTTAAGCAAATGAATTCAAATCTTATTTTTTGCTCTTCATTAGATTCGTTTTCCAATTTGCGAATATCCCTGACAATGTACAGTTGTGTTTATTACAGAGAGAGCGCCAAGTCCGCTGTACGGAAGGGATATAGCTATTACGTAATGGGGATGATGATAAGGAGAAAGAAGTTATCACACTTGTGCATGTATTCCAATCAACCAGCTGTGGATGCAAACGTGCACAAGCAAATGCAAATGTTGTATGATACCATATAATATCTCATTCCATAGGTCAAAATGGTTGAACTAGTATAGGGTACGAAGTTCAAAATGAACTGGTATGGCCGAAATGGAGACATGATATATGAGATTACTGAACAAAATTTAAGAGAAAATATTTTCTTGTTAAAATACTCACATCTGTGAACTGCTTGAGTTTTGTTTTATATGTTTGAAGGTGAACCAGCGTTAGCTAACATTTACTAAGCACTATTAGTGTTTCTTACTCTTCAGTTTTACGGTAGAAAATCCGATCATTATGTGTTCATGATGCGACCACGCGTCTGTGATCAGCGTCGGATCTCAACTCATTAGTGAAGCGATCTCGTGAACTTAATTACTTTAATATATATATTTTTATTTTATTTTTTTACCAAAAAAACGTGTACTATTTTCATAATGATGATGGATGCGGAATATGTTTGAAGCATATATCATCGACTGGTGTAAAACATTGTGTTAAAAAGGCATGTCTGTTCCGTCTTATAGGTGGTGTAAAACATTGTGTTAAAATGGCATGTCTGTTCCGTCTTATAGGTGTAAGCTTGATACGTAACGGGGAACCATAGCAGTCTCCTTGTCTATTTTGTCACACTTAATTTGAAGGTGATGATGACAAGTACGAAATGGCATTATATACATATTGTTAGCTTGAATGATATCGGTTATGACAAGCTGGATCATTTGAAGTGAAATGAAAATCCTCCAGCACTTTCAATATAATGTAGATTTGTAAGTATGCTATCGGTGATATTTCTGTGACCTTGTGATAACTCTGTCACTACTTACGGTACCATAAGTCATATACACTTTATGGAGAAAATGTATGTTCATCCAACGATTCTGTATGATACGTGTGCTGATGAATGTGCTGTGTACTTGGAAACCAATTCATAAATATACAGAAAAAGATTCTGCTCAAAGCAGCTTTTCACAAAGTGAAATGAGGGTGTGTTTTTATTTTGGTGTACCTTCCGTTATGAACGACTCTGTTGGTGTCTGAATTTCCACTCATTTACGTGCGGGTAGGAATAGGTTTGGAGAAGTTTGGAAATGGTGAGGTGGAGTCACTAGCATGTGGTCGGAAATGGGGCGGGGCTATTACCAAAAGTATGCATTTACATTTACCGATCTCTAATCAGGGTTGTCGTTCTTTGTATTCATAAACAGTCCCGTCAACGACTAAAAGGCAGAATTCTCGGCGAAACAAACAATTGACATATTTCATATTGTAAGTTGTTTCCTGTTGTTAAAACAAAATCGTTATAAATAATATGAAGATTTTAAAAAAATCAGTCTATAGAAGGAGTACATTAAATCAAGCCAAAGTCAATATTTTAGCTTTTAGTTAGTGTTTATGTGTGAGGAAAGACAACTCTATGTAGAGATTGGAGGTTTACCAGTGATGAAAGCCTGCAAGTGAATAAGAGTTATCTCCCTTAGTTTCTCTTCACGCAATACTTATTTAGGAATTAGCTGCTCGACCTTTAATCACAGTTATTAAAAACACATTAGTTTAAGTATATTCACAAGCGGTACACAACGTTTCTTAACAGGCAAATGGCAACTGACTTCGTATACGCCGTTTATACAAAACAAATGTTTCCCGCGGGGAAAATAACAACCCCCTTAACTATTTTAACATAGTGACGAGAGAATCGGCATGTATCTGTCAAAAAGTCGCATGAATGGGCTTTACTATAGAAAAAATATCATTTTATCTCAGCGAATTATCAACAAACTTGTTGGATGATTTATGTTATATATATTGAATTACATGAATCTTACATGAAGTATGTGCTCTCATTTCATTGAGATAGTTTAATTATCGTGGATAATATTTTTTCATGTCATATTATTTCCGTTGATCATATTTCGCAATCTCACTTATGACCCGACAAATCACGAAAATATCATCAACACAGAAAATGTTCTGCTTTACGGCATCAGACTGGCCAAACAAAAAGAAAGCGGGGCAATATAAACAGGATGTGGCAAATGTGGGAAACAACTAAATTAGAACTTCTCATGCGTAATATATCAGGTGTCATATCAGTTTATAGTCCATGGCCCTATACTTTGGAAATTTCTGCTATTTGGTCCATATCTCGACTCTATACCTCTATCAACACAGCTTGTATACATTTATCATATGCCACTATCGAAAAAACTACTGTGCAACGTGGTATATCATTGAACTAGTTTTCTCCCTCTACAGTCAGCTGATGTCATGGTTTCGTAAGGAATATGTGAGATATATCAAGGAATCCCGTACCACTGCCAATGGGGGAAAAATATTGGAAGTTAAAATAAACAAAATATAATAAACAACAATATTTTGAGTCTAAAAATTCAGCGTGACCAGACCAGGATTCAAACCCCGGACCTCCTGTTGTTTAACCGTCGCTCTTACCAACTGGGTCACCTTGTCAACGGAAGCAGTTTCGCCCGACTGCGCTACAGTTATATCCAAACAAAACTAAGGGGGGTAACTGTTTGTACGAAGCTCTAATGTTTTGTCTCCAGCTGGTCTGGGGTCCTTGATAGGTTTGAATGCTGTGTAATCTATGACGAACAGCGTCAAATATGGCTTTTAAAAAGCCCATGATGACGAGGTAAAGTTAGATCTTATAATGTATTTGAATATGACCACCAGAAACTATGGATCGCATGCATGAATACCCGACACGTTATTTCACTATTTGGTGAGAGGTGGGCGTGTTGTTAACAGATGTAGAACTAGATAACTACATTATATAGGGTTCATCATCATGGACATCCAATCATACAATGTTCGGTCTATATTTACTGACTGATATAATGTATTATAACCATCATCAAATCATACAATATTCGCTCTATATATACTGACTGATAAAATGTATTATAACCAACATCAAATCATACAATATTTGGTCTATATATACTGACTGATAAAATGTATTATAACCAACATCCAATCATACAATGTTCGGTCTATATTTACTGACTGATATAATGTATTATAACCATCATCAAATCATACAATATTCGGTCTATATATACTGAGTGATAAAATGTATTATAACCAACATCAAATCATACAATATTCGGTCTATATATACTGAGTGATAAAATGTATTATAACAAACATCCAATCATACAATGTTCGGCCTATATTTACTGACTGATAAAATGTATTATAACCAACATCAAATCATACAATATTCGCTCTATATATACCAACTGATAAAATGTATTATAACCAACATCCAATCATACAATGTTCGGTCTATATTTACTGACTGATATAATGTATTATAACCATCATCAAATCATACAATATTCGCTCTATATATACTGACTGATATAATGTATTATAACCATCATCAAATCATACAATATTCGCTCTATATATACTGACTGATAAAATGTATTATAACCAACATCAAATCATACAATATTCGGTCTATATTTACTGACTGATAAAATGTATTATAACCAACATCAAATCATACAATATTCGGTCTATATATACTGACTGATAAAATGAATTATAACCAACATCAAATCATACAATATTCGGTCGATATATACTGACTGATAAAATGTATTATAACCATCATCAAATCATACAATATTCGCTCTATATATACTGACTGATAAAATGTATTATAACCAACATCAAATCATACAATATTCGGTCTTACTCTATACTGGCCGATAAAATTACATTATCACAATATCAAGTCCTACAATATTCGGTCTTACTCTATACTGGCCCATAAAATTACATTATCACAATATCAAGTCATACAATATTCGGTCTTACTCTATACTGGCTGATAAAATTACATTATCACAATATCAAGTCCTACAATATTTGGTTTGTACTGTCCGCTGTATATCCGCTATACACACCGTGTAGTTCGATGTTATATGCATAGCTAATGCAATGTGAAGGACTCTGTCCCGAAACATTAATGACGTCACAGGGAAATAAATCAATTTCACAACGGACTAGCTCGCAATGTATTAATTATAATTTCATTGTGACCCAGTTTCAATGTCCGGCACGCCCCGGATTGGCCCACAATGCTAGTACGTTACTGGAGGGTTCAAATAAGGTCAACATGAGTGGAATTAATCCTGTTTTTAAATATTGTCCATTAAAGTAAGGACAATGGCCTAATGCGTTGCATTGTATTTGTTTTAATTGTCACGATGTCTGTCACATCACCGTCGTTTTCAGCATACAGTGACGTAATATGTACTAGGACAGACAGGACGTAATTAATAAGGTAAACAATGACTTGAGGTTACTGTTTACAACATCGTACGAAAGAAGTACATCACGATATAGGAAATGCCGTATTTATCACGAAAGGAAAAAATCACATTACAATATGTGAAATAAAATAGGTATTACCATGGGAAAGAACTACATTACAATGTGTGAAATGAAGTATGTACCCATAGCAAAGAATTGCACCACAATATGTGTAATGAAGTATGTACCCCATAGCAAAGAATTGCATCACAATATGTGTAATGAAGTATGTACCCCATAGCAAAGAATTGCACCACAATATGTGTAATGAAGTATGTACCCCATAGCAAAGAATTGCACCACAATATGTGTAATGAAGTATGTACCCCATAGCAAAGAATTGCACCACAATATGTGTAATGAAGTATGTACCCCATAGCAAAGAATTGCACCACAATATGTGTAATGAAGTATGTACCCCATAGCAAAGAATTGCACCACAATATGTGTAATGAAGTATGTACCCCATAGCAAAGAATTGCACCACAATATGTGTAATGAAGTATGTACCCCATAGCAAAGAATTGCACCACAATATGTGTAATGAAGTATGTACCCCATAGCAAAGAATTGCACCACAATATGTGTAATGAAGTATGTACCCCATAGCAAAGAATTGCACCACAATATGTGTAATGAAGTATGTACCCCATAGCAAAGAATTGCACCACAATATGTGTAATGAAGTATGTACCCCATAGCAAAGAATTGCACCACAATATGTGTAATGAAGTATGTACCCCATAGCAAAGAATTGCACCACAATATGTGTAATGAAGTATGTACCCCATAGCAAAGAATTGCACCACAATATGTGTAATGAAGTATGTACCCCATAGCAAAGAATTGCACCACAATATGTGTAATGAAGTATGTACCCCATAGCAAAGAATTGCACCACAATATGTGTAATGAAGTATGTACCCCATAGCAAAGAATTGCACCACAATATGTGTAATGAAGTATGTACCCCATAGCAAAGAATTGCACCACAATATGTGTAATGAAGTATGTACCCCATAGCAAAGAATTGCACCACAATATGT